AGACAAGCTGGCAGGTTTTGTTTGACATATATAACAACTCCCCCTTTCTTCCCAGGTGCAGGAGATATAAAATGAGATCCCAAACGAGCATTAACTAAATATTTCTGATCTTTAAGTAGAATATGAGTTTCCTGTAAACAAATAACATCATTGGTATGTTGTTTCAAATAATAAAAGATTTTTTTCCGTTTCTGAGGAGAATTCAATCCATTAACATTCCAGGTCAAGAACTTTACCATCTCCCTTGGCACGCAGCCTGGAGAAGACACCATCAAACTCTGACAGAGCTGCGTGTGTTGCATAACTCTTGGGTCTTGCTCCTCCCACCGGCGGTGATGCACTTCCAGGAGAATTCTCTTTGGGCTCTTTTTTACGTTGCTCTTTCTCTTTACGCTTATAAGCTGCACGAGTCATCCTCTGCTCTTTAGCCTCCATTTGGCGTTGCTTTGCCACTTCTATCATCCCTGCGGAAACCAAATCTAGTGCCTCAGATTGCTGCTCAGGTTCCTTAGCACTCAAAGATTTCCGACCAGATGAAGTTGAGCCTGCACTCAGGACCGAAGTATAGAAATCTCTAGCTTTGTCAACTGTGTTCAATCTGTAACGTGTCCCAGCATGGCTCAAAACGATACCCATCGGAATTTCCCATCTGAATGGCATCGATCTAGCTTTAAGCTCATTGGTTAAAAAAGCAAAGTCTTTCCTACTTCTTAAAATTTTAGATGGGATTTCCTTTAGAATGATGACATCTTGGGCGGCAATCTGAAATCTTTTGTTGTAAAAAGCTTGTATAATCTCATTCCGCAGGGACTTCTTTGTAAAGTAAATCACCACATCTCTGGGCAAATTCTTCTGCTTAGCAATCCAGGAGTTGAGTCTATAAATTTTTTCTACTTCTCTCTGTAATTCTCCTTTATCCATATCCAAAGCCAGCGCCAGATCACTAAGAACCACCTCCATCAAATCTTGATTCATATCTTCCTTGAGGCCTCTAATCCTCAGAGCATACTCCATTTGTCTGTATTGAAACATCAAAATATCTTCTTGTGAGGAGTCCACCTTCCTTTCCACGTCTTGAATTTTGTCATCTAAAGAGTCAACTTTGTCTTCCACTTCCTCAAGCCTTGCATCGAGCTTAACCACCACAGTAGCCAAACCTGAAACAGCTGCCAGTATATCTTGTCGTAATTCATTATTATTTTCTTGCAATTTAGACTTTATCCCCGTTATCTCTTCTTTGAGATCAGATTTAATTTCTGATTTAATCTGTGAAACAAATTGAGTCATTTCCTCTCTCATTTGAACTACAATCTCTCCCATTATGCCTCTAACCTCTTGCACTGAAAGTCCAGGTAGAGGAGGGGAGGGTGGTGGCTGAGCCGGTGGTGCATGTTTAGATTGTTGTTGTAGCTGTGCAGTGGAAGTTATAGGAGAAGAAATAACCTTGGGTATTGAGGAAGGCTGCTGCCTCTTTGAAGCCATTTTAAAAAGCACAATTGTCACTTCCCTTTCCCCTCCAGCCAAAAAGGGAGGAGGAAAAAAAGAAAAAAAGAATTTTTAAAAAGAGACAAACTATAATCATTAAAAGTCCAGAATAAATCCCAAGAATAAGTAATAAAAGAGCAAACAATTCAAAAAAAAAAATTCTAAGCCAAAAGCAAAAGCAAAAGCAAAAAACAATCCTTAAAAAGGGAAAGTAAAACAAAAGAGAAAGGAAAAAAAAACTCCGACACTTTCAAAACGCCATCTTAAGTCCTTTCACTAGTATAACAAAGAAAAGGAGGAAAAATAGTAAAAATCAAAAGATAAAAAAAATAAACACCTAAAATATAAAAAAAAGTCCTTTAAACTGCTCCGTCCGTTTAAAAATTACTCACCAAAATGCTGTAAACACGGAGATAGAAGCGGCGGTTTCTTTTGCTTCCAAGGAAGCAAAAACAGCTGGGAGGCGGAGATCAGCAAGAGCTCCGAGGGAACACTCCTTTCACCCCCTCTAGAAATAAATCCAGAGGGGGTTCAGGGGTTCTACCTCTACTCTTGCGTTCTCTATCCCTTCCCTTTGCCCGGGAAGGGATTTCCGAGCCGCGGGCCAGCTGATGCGCGCTGCGCTCCGCGGCTCTGACACTTCCCCAGCTGGACGGCTAAAAGCTAGCCGCCATCGCCGTCGCCTCCCACCGGAAGCTCCGGAATGTAATATTTCTTGCAGACATCATCTATCTTCAGTCTACAACACAGTCCTTTCAGTTCCAAGAAGGTTCCACACCCATTAACATTACTCAGGATAAGCCTCCAGGTAGCATCAACGACTTGCTAAAAGAATGTAAATGACCAGCTGTCTGCAAAGAATATAAATCCTTCCATTCCCCACCATCCAGTCAGAGCTAAAGAAGCTTCTTGGATGAGAAATGAAATATCTTCAAAAACAAAAAAGGAAGTCCTGTTGCCTTATGAAAAAGCACTTTTGGGACATAGGCCCAATGTCATCATCCTCAATGTCCAGTTATCAAGCCTTAGGTGAATACTATTTCTGCTTAATGCCAAATTGTTTGCTAAGACTCACCTCATTAGGGACAGGATTCTGAATGAGAGTGCAATATGGTATATATTACCAAGATATGGCATGGCACAAAGGGGTGAATTTTGATTAATGATTAATTACGTGCCATCAAATTATTTTTAGCATCTAGAGGCATAGATTCTCTCCAAGATAATCTGTCCCTAATCTATTATTTCAGGTCCCCTTTGGCACACTCATTGTCTTTCTGAGTTCAAGCATCTTAACTGCTGATCATCCTATTTTTATTATTTATTTATTTATTAGTAAAATTTATATGCCGCCCAATCCCTAGGGGCTCAGGGTGGCATACAAAATTAAAACAACAAATAACAATTAAAAATGAATACATTCACACAGCATGTCCCAATTGAATCCTGCCCCCCCCCCGGGGACATCAACCCCAGGTCTGCCGGAACAGGAGAGTTTTAATAGCTTTCTTGAAGGCCGGCAAGGTGGGAGTAGTTTGAATCTCGGGGGGAAGTTGATTCCACCATGTTGGAGCCACCACAGAAAAGGCCCTTCCCCGAGGGCCCGCCAGCTGACATTGTCTGGCCAATGGGACCTGAAGGAGGCCCAATCTGTGGGACCTCACCAGTCTCTGGGAACTATGCGGCAGTATGCGGTCCTGTAAGTAACCTGGTCCTAAGCCATGAAGGGCTTTAAAGGTGACAATTAACACCTTGAATTGCGTCTGGAGACCCACAGGAAGCCAGTGCAGCTCGCGGAGGATAGGTGACATGTGGGTGTACCTTGTTGCACCCACAATCACTCTGGCGGCTGCATTCTGAACCAACTGCAGCCTCGGAATGCTCTTCAACGGTAGCCCCATGTAGAGCGCATTACAGTAGTCCAGTCTTGAGGTGACAAGGGCATGAGTAATTGTGAGTAGAGCCTCCCGGTCCAAATAAGGCCATAACTGGTGCACCAGGCGAACCTGGGCAAAAGTCCCCCTGGCCACAGCCGATAGATGTTGTTCCAAATTTAGCTGTGAGTCCAGGAGGACACCCAAGTTGCATGCCTGCACTGAGGGAGGTAAATTCCCCCCCCCCAGGACTAATGATGGACTATCAGAATGACCCTTGGGGGGCAAGACCCAGAGCCACTCGGTCTTGTCAGGGTTGAGTCTAAGCCTGTTCACCCCCATCCAGACCCTCACATCTTCTAGGCACCAGCACATCACATCGACTGCTTCACTGAAACGACACGGGGTGAAGATGATACCTCACCCCGTGTCGCCGAATGATCTCACCCAACGGTTTCATGTAGATGTTAAAAAGGAGGTGGGACAGGACCGAGCCCTTTGGCACCCCATAATCGAGGCGCCTAGGGGTCGATCTTTGTTCACCCGCCAACACTGACTGCAACCTGTCAGAGAGGTAGGAGAAGAACCACCACAATACGGTGCCGCCCACCCCTACCTCTCCGAGACGACACAGAAGGATACCATGGTTGATGGTATCGAAAGCCACTGAGAGGCATATTTTCTCTTTCTTTTTACTTTTCCCAGCATTACAGCTTTTTCCAAACAGTTCGGCATTCACAAAATATGTCCAAAGTAGAATAATTTGAGCATGGTCATTTGCACTTTGAATGAGAACTCTGGGCTAATTTGCCAATGTTTCATTTATTTGCCCAGAGAATTCTCAACAATCTATTCCAGTACAAGTTCAAAAGTGTTGATACAAAGTGCAAAATTTGGAACTCCCATTGTTCTGAAAATCTCATAAGCAAGAAATCTGTGGTGATAGTTATGTTTGGCACTTCATTGTGGTTTTAACAGCTGGGAAATAAAGAACATATACATTTCTTGTATGAGAATATGATCCCATATGAGGCAACATAGACCATACCTGGCCATATCCACCCCTTTGGCTCTCTGTCTAGACCAGTGGTTCTCAACCTGTGGGTTGGGACCCCATTTGGGGTCAAACGACCATTTCACGGGGGTCGCCAAACAATGCAGTCTGCCATTTTTCCCCCTTTTCCTTAGCTGTGCTATTCCCTTTTATTCTATTGACTTTTGAAAGCCAATAGAATAGACTCTCTTGAATAGAGTCTAATTCTATTGGCTTTCAAAAGCCAATAGGAATTGTCCAGGCTGTCTCTGCCCTGCTGAGCCCGCCAAAAGTCCCATTCTGTAAACGGTGCTGCACCAGTTGAGTAGTCCTTGACTTACGACTGGTTGAGTAGTCCTCAACTTACAACCGGTTGGGGGTCGCGGCATTAAAAAGATTGAGAACCACTGGTCTAGACTGAGTAATGTCAATTGGAAAAATAGAAATCAAATATAAATGTGTGTACAGCCCTCTTGGTTAGACTCTCCACAATAGCCCCAGTTTCTCACCATATTCCCTACAGAAAACCCAATTGATATAGACCAATTGTTTGTAAAAGATAATATGATAACTAAACAAAAGGCACAACTGACATAAAAAGCCACATCTAGAATGAAAAAGACAGGTCCCCAGTACCAGCTTCCTTTTATTAAAGAAGAAATTTCATAGAAGAAAAACATAGTGTGGTTATGGTTATCAAACTTTAGAGAAACCTTTGATTGGGAATAATGATTTTGCCAAACTCTAAAATTTGAGATATACTGTAGAATTTTCTTCCTCACCTCCAAACCTGCAACTATGCAAAATATCAATGGATGTGATTTGGTTACAAATTAATTGGATTCTCCATCTGGTATATGGTAGGAAAATTTCCATATTGTTTTGAAGACCATGGGCAGATAATAGAATATTAATGAAGTCTGAATCTAATCATATCTACAACAATCAGTCAACAGAATCTCAAAATTTTAACAACATCCAAATTGTATACCATCTTGAGCACGTCTTCGGGATTTGCAACCCCATCCTAAGGAGAGAAATTTCTCAGAAAAAGATTGTCCAAATATGCATTGACCTACAGCTAAACTGTAAATATGCTGATGGTTTAGGATTTTCTAACTACAACATATATTACCGTATGTGGTTAATAGCAGCTTCAATAAGTTTAAATTGTTCACTGTTTCAGTATTTTTATATTGGTTTAGCTGCTGATTGATTCCACAACAACAAATGTTGCTTCAACACTACTATTAATGCCTTGTTCTTTTTAGCCTATTTTTAAGAGCTTGAGAAAGAAATGCAGTGAATGCTCGGTGAAGAACAATAAATAATAAAAAGATTGTTGTGGTACCTGCATTGCCTTGACAAAGTATAAAGAGTAATAACACCCATAGTTGACCTAAGGCTATATGATGTTGGATATCTGCATTTGCTTGCAGACAGCTATCCTAGATGAAGCACCTATTAGTCAGAAAAAACAACAACACCAGAATGATACACAGACAATAAAAAGATCGTATTGTCTCACCCAGAATATCACAGGAGCAAATATTCATTACAAAAGAATTTCCTATCATCTGTTACCCTGGTCCCAGCCCATTGTACATGGGATAAAACATTCCACTTCCACATAAAATCTGACACCAGTAATGGACATTTTCTAGAACATTCTGAGCCTGATTTCAAGGTTGTTATCTTAAAAAAGGAAATGAGAGAAGAAAAGGAGATTTCATGATCAAATACTTGGCCAAGACAAGAATTAAAATAATCTTTCATTGATGTTTCTTATCCCAATATATACTCTGATCAAAATATTAAACTGAAAATGTGGATGTCACACTTATTTTCCCCTTTGCTTAAGATAACTACTGGTAATTCCAAATTTTTAACATTTTAACCATTTCATATAAATGCATGTGCGTGAGTCTCTGAACTATGCCCAATGCGTCCAAATAAGTAAATTGTAGTTCACAAAGCTTAAATGATAATAAAGATGTTATTGTTCGGGACAAAAAATTAGTGGGATATTTTTAGTCCTTAAGGGAAAATGGTTTAGTTGTTCTTAGCAGAGTTTTGTATTTTGATTTGTAATCCTTTGATTAAACAACTTCCATAAAGCAGTTTTGATATCCTTATTCCTCATGCTATAAATTACAGGGTTCATCATTGGAGGGATCACAGAGTAGATCACTGCAAAGACCTCATCCCAATTGTAAGAAGACCCAGAATTTGGTATGAAATAGGAAAATATACCTGTACCAAGCAATAAACAGACAACAAGGAGATGAGGAATGCAAGTAGAGAAGGCCTTTTGTCTACTGGCCACGGAGGACATGCTCAATACTGTCTTAAATATTTTTACATAGGACATGATAATTAACATAAAACAAACAACACCAAGCAAAGAACTAAAGAGAAGAACCCTGATTTCACTAAATTTCGGATCGAAGCAGGAAATTTTCATGAGATGTGGGATTTCACAGAAGAACTGATGGATGACTTTAGAACAGAAAGGCAATGAAAAAAGGGTTCCTGCATGCATGGCAGCATTAAGAAAGCCGAGCATCCATGCAGCCCCTGCCATCTGGAAGCAGCTTCTCCATTGCATCATGGACATGTAGTGTAAAGGATGGCAGATAGCCACATATCTATCATAAGCCATAGCAGTGAGAAGGAAAATGTCTGAGGACATAAAGAAGAGAAAGAAAAACATTTGTGCAACACATTCAGAATATGAAATCCTTCTTGCATTCATGAGTGCACTGGCTATTGATCTGGGAATGGTGACAGAGGTGGATCCTAGATCAACAATCGCTAAATTGACCAGAAAGAAGTACATTGGTGTCTGAAGTTGGTTGTTCACTACTACCAGAATGATAAGGAGAAGATTTCCTATCAGGATTGCCAGATACATCATGAGGAAGACCATAAAATGCAAAATCTGGAACTCCCGTTGCTCAGAAAATCCCATAAGCAAGAAATCTACAATGATGGTTATGTTTGGCATCATGTCGTTGAATTTCAACTGTTAGAGAATGGAACATCAATTTAACAAACCTCTTCCTTTCTTACAAAACTATACACATCAAATATTTTATTTTCATGGTGTCTCCCATAACACAGAAAATTATATTTATAAAATTAAGTTAGATTTCAGTACTGACATCCTTTAATAAGGAACCATTTCTGCAGAAGTATATATAATATAATGTAATATTTTATCATTTATCTAATCAGATAATTCCAATCTTACTTAAATTTGATGTTCAGATAGAAATTTATTGCCTTGTAACATGCAGAAGCTTTAAAAATATCATTTGGTACTATATACTGTAAAATCTTCAGCTGCCTAATATTCCAAGTATGTGAAGTAAATAAGGCTCAATAGCAACCCTAATTAGATTCTTTATCTATAATGATGAGGCCACCATGTCCTGTTCTAATTAACATTTCACTGAACTTAAAATCATAAAAAAGAAAGGTCATATAAACTTTTTGTATGAAAATATGATATAATGAGACAATATATATCAAACTTTTTATATTAATAGTAATATGATAACTCCTATGACATAAAAAGCCACATCTAGAAATAAAAATACAGTTCTTCAGTATCAGATTCTTTTTATTAAATAAGAAATTTCATAGAAGAAGAAAATAGCATGGTTATGGTTATCAAATTTTAGAAGAGCATTTGGTTTTTTTCATATCACTAGGGAACATTAATTTTGCCAATAGTTGAAATTATAAAGATAGTCCTTCCTTCTAATATTACAGAGTTTTTATGAATATCATTTTTATTTATATTCTCCACCTCCAGATCTGCAGTCATGAGATATATCCAAGAATGTGAAATAAAACAGGTTTGATTACAAATTTAATTGCATTCTCTATCTACAGTAGAGTACAAGTACCATATTGCTTGTGTAGATCGTGTGTATTGGATATTATTGAAGAAGCTGAAGCTAGATAGCTAATCATATCTGCAACAATTGGTCAAGAGAAAGCTTCAGATTTGATAGATTAATTGATTAGCACAAGTATTGCAATTGTATTATTGAAATGTTACATTTCTCATTCAAAATGTAGCTTATTTTTGTATAAACTATGAATCAAATTAAAAAACTTCTTGATTAAAAGGCATAAGACAGATTTTTGAAAGCTTACACATTCAAACTTTCTTGAATGGTGTTTAGAAATCTAAACTTTATAAACTTACTTTTTCCTCTTTGATCCTTTTAAACTGGTAATAAAAATGATCATACAAGCCAATCTCTGTCCACTTTTTTTCTTTTGTTTGTTTATATTTCTTTCAAATCCCACAACCTCTCAAAAAACTTTTAGTGGCAGATTTACAGGACAACTCTACTTCAAGCATAAGTACATGATGCAGATTAATGGAGAAAAAGCTAGTATTGAACACCAATGAATATGAGTGTTATATAATAGAAATAAATCCTTAATTAGCATCCAGAGATTATATTTCTTATCCCAAAACAGACATAAATTAGAAAAAAAGTAAAAAAAAACATTTTTCTCATTAACAAACTATCATTAAACTCTCATTCTACAGCTACCATTCATGTAATCCAGCAGTTATAGCTGTAAATTTGGTGAGATTCAGACATGGCTTCCTCCTCAACATTTGCTAACTAGTCCCATAGGGAACATAGACACAATATTAAAGATCTCTATAACAAAGGAATTATTGCACAATCTCCTCTGTAGTGGTAGCAGATGAAATTCTCCAAGCCACTGCAAGGACATGATGTTTCCTTTCAACAAGAGGAGTATATAGAAAACGTATAAAGCATTATTGATAGCATTATCTCAGCAAATAATGAATCATGGGTGTTGTGTCCTAAGCCTGCAAAAGCAGGCTTGGGACGTTGCAAAGTTCCTGGGCAGTTGCAAGCTGCCTGGGACCAGAATGGTTGGCGCCGGCTTCGCACACATGCGCAAGGCGTGGAGCATGCCTAATTGTTGCCATTCTGCCCGGGGAACATTATTAAGGGAAGCAGAGAGGCCTGCGAGCCTCAGAGTTGTAATGGAGCAGAAGAGACTACAATAAAGACTTCTTGAACCTACCAGTTGTTCTGTGCTCATTCGCCATTAAGCCGAGGACTCAACACTGGCGACGAAGGTGGGATGCCTTACAATTGACTAAGAAGAATTGTAAGCTTACCCAGGAGTCCTGAGAGCAGCTAGGAAGACGGCGTTAAATTCAGCACCTGCCTGCCAGTACAGCATCGCTGGAGGTAAGCTGGCTGATAGACCCCTTCCTTACAAAGGAGAAAATGGCAAAGATAGGGAGACTCTCTGAATTTGATGTCATGCACCCAGAGAGATGGGAGTCTTATGTGGCCAGAGTAGAAAACTACTTGAAAGTAAACAAAGTAAGAGAAGATGGCTTAAAGGCCGCTACTTTGCTCTGTGTTTGTGGTCAAGGTGCATTTGAAATTGCTGAAAATTTAGCAGCCCCTGCACCACTTGAATCTGTAACCTACACAGATTTAAAAAAAACTACTAAAAGAACATTTTCAGCCCAAGTTGTCTGTTATTGCATGGAGACATACTTTTGAACAGAGGGATCAACGAGCTGGTGAATCAGCTAAAGAATACATTGCAGCTTTGAGAAGAGCAGCTAAGTCTTGTGAGTTTAAAGACTTAGAAGAAAGTTTGAGAGACAGATTTGTATGTGGGCTTAGGAACAGAGACTTGCAGCAGAGACTTTTTGCAAAGGAAGACATATCGTTCCAAGATGCCTTGAGAGAGGTTACTGCAGAAGAGGCAGCAGGTGAGGCAATCAAGAACATGCGGCCTATCAGGAGCACTCCAGAAGCTGTTTCCGTGCACCACGAGGAAGTCCAGGAGAGCTCGGAAGAGGATCCTGAAGGTGGATCATCTTTACCCAGACAAAGAAAGGAAGCAGAAGGAAGGCAAAGAAAAGTCTTCAGCTGTACCCAAGGGCTTCGGGTGTGGAGGTCGCCACAAGAGGACCGACTGCAGGTTCCGTTCTGCAATCTGTAGAGCATGTGGAAAGCAAGGTCACATAGCAGCTGTGTGTCTGGGCCGTCAGAAGGTACAACCCCAAGAAGAATTTCACCTGAAAGGTACCAGGGTCCCCAGCCAAAACAGGATGGGTTTCTGTGCATCATGAAGAAGCATTTATAGGACAGACACACACAAGCCACTTAAAAAGAAACTGTCACTTAAGGTGAAGTTGCAAGGAGTTCCATTGGTTATGGAACTAGACACTGGGTCTGCACTTTCAATTATTTCCATTCACACATTCAGAAAGATTTGCTCTAGCAGTGGGTTCCAGGCCAAGCTTAGGCCATCCAATATACTTCTAACGGACTTTCAAAACTTCAAGGTGTGTGTTAAGGGGGAGGTCACCCTTAATGTACAATACAAGGATTTTGAAAGTCCATTAGATGTATTGGTAGTTGGGGGTGAGCGTACGAGTCTCATAGGACTCGATTGGTTTGAGGCCTTGAGAATACAAGTTACAGGGCTTAACAGTTTGCAAACATTAGGCCTACAAGAAGTCTGCAAAGAATTTGCACATGTCTTCAGCCCTCAGCTGGGTACATACAAAGGGCCCCCAGTTTCCTTAAAGCTGGACCCCACTGTCACTCCTATCAGAGTAAAAGCAAGGAGAGTACCTTTTGCTTTGAAAGGAAAAATTGATGCTGAATTGGTCAAATTGATTCAGCAAGGTGTCTTAGAACCTGTTGATTCAAGTCCACTTCCATAGTCATGCCTCTTAAGGCTAATGGGGACTTTTGCATCTGTGCAGATTACAAATGCACACTAAACAAGGCATTGCAACAACATGCATATCCTGTACCTGTAGTCAGTCATATTCTGGCCTCCCTCAGGGGGGGAGGCGTGTTTTTGCAAAGCTAGATTTAGCACAGGCTTATCAATAGTTACCTGTTGATGAAGCTGCTGTTGAAGCACAGACCACTGTAACTCATAGGGGGGCATTCAAAGTCAAAAGACTACGATTTGGAGTAAATGTGGCTCCTGGAATTTTCCAAAGCGTAATGGAAAATACTTTGAGGGGTATACCAGGGGTTTGCCCCTATTTTGATGATGTCTTAATAGCTGGAGACTCCACTCAAAATTTAGCTGAGAGATTGAGGGCTGTCCTGCTGAGGTCCCAGAAAACAGGCCTCAAGCTTAAAAAAGACAAATGTAAAATTGGGGTGCTTTCTACAGATTTCCTGGGATTCAAAATAGGTGCCAATGGCATTCATCCTGCTGAGTCCAAATTAAAGGCTATTATACAAGCTCTTAGGCCTAAGTCCAAAGCTGAACTACAAGCTTTTCTGGGCCTCTTGAATTTCTATAATGCATTCATTCCTAACAAAGCTAATGTAGCTGAGCCACTTCATAGGCTTTTGGACAAACAGGCAGTGTGGCAGTGGTCACAAGCACATGAAGCAAGCTTCAATGAGGTTAAGGCCTTACTTACACCCAATAATGTGCTTGCACATTTTAAGGAAACTCTTCCTGTGTGCATCGCTTGTGATGCTTCTCCTTATGGGATGGGAGCAGTACTTAGCCATCTAAGACCTGATGGAACTCAGGTTCCTGTTGCATATTACTCCAGAACCTTGTCTTCTGCTGAGCGAAACTACGCCCAGATAGACAGGGAAGCCTTGGCTGTTGTTGCTGGGATTAAAAAATTCCATGATTTTTTATATGGCAGACATTTCACGGTCTACACTGACCATAAGCCTTTGTTGGGGTTGTTTACTACAAACAAACAAACCCCCCATATCACTTCCCCCAGAATGCTAAGATGGTCCATCTTTCTGTCAGCCTATGATTTTTCTTTAATTCACAAACCTGGCAAAGAAATGGGCCATGCTGATGGCCTCAGTAGATTACCCTTACAAGAGGTAGAGGCTGACCCTGCCCCTGCCATCAATATCTTTTCCATTCAGGCGCTGCCTGAGTCACCTTTAAATGCCAGGGATGTGGCTGCTGAATCAGCCACAGACCTCACACTCACTCATGTATTATTCTGGGTTTTGTCTGGGTGGCCAGAGAGTTGTCCAGGTACTGAGTTTCAGAGTTTCTGGCTTAAGAAACATGAGTTGTCCCCTTTTCAGGGTTGTCTGCTGTGGGGCAGCAGAGTTGTTATTCCTACCTCAATGAGGTCTAGGGTCTTGGCTTTCCTTCATGAGGGCCATGCTGGCATTGTAAGAATGAAGGCGCTTGCGCGCAGCCATTTGTGGTGGCCTGGGTTAGACAAGGAAATAGAGGCTAAGGTGCTCACATGCCACCTGTGTCAGCGCTCACGCCCAGAAATGCCCCAGGCTCCTGAACATAGATGGGAGGAAACACAGTCACCTTGGTCTAGGGTGCACATTGATTATGCTGGGCCCTTTCAGGGTCAATTCTTCTTGGTCCTTATTGATAGCTATTCAAAGTGGCTTGAGGTTGTACCTGTCTCTTCAACCACTGCTGCCAAGACCATTCAAGTACTGAGGGGGATTTTTGCTGCACATGGGCTTCCGGATGTTTTGGTGTCTGACAATGGCCCTCAATTCACCTCTTCCGAATTTCAAGCATTCTTACAGGCCAACATGATTCGTCATGCCACCTCTGCACCATTCCACTCTTCCACCAACGGTATGGCTGAACGGATGGTCCGCATCACCAAGGATGCTTTAAAGAAACTGACTTATGGGAACTGGCACCACAGGTTGGCAGACTTTCTTCTTGCGTACTGCACCACACCTTCAACTTCTACTGGGAAAAGCCCAGCTGAACTTCGCTGGGGGCGCAAACTGATTACCAAACTTGATAGGTTGCACCCAGACAGAGTGCCTCCTAAGGCTACACAACTCAGGGCACCAAGGTATCTGCACGTGGGCGCCCCAGTATGGACCGGTAACTATGGGCCTGGTCATTTGTGGGTTCCTGCTGTAGTATGCAAGGTTACTGGCCCTTTGTCATACGAGGTCTCATTGGATGACGGTCATGTCCTTCGGCGGCATATCGACCAGCTGCGTACAAGACTGGACTTACCCTCGGAAACTCCTGGGCCTTTTCCACAGGGGGACCACTATGGGCAAAGGGATGGGTGTTGGCAGAAGCCAGGCCTCAACAGAGAGGCCACAGACGGCCTATTCCAAGGTTCCACAAGTGTTCCAAACAGAAATCCATGGGAACAAGACAGCACACAGGCACCAGTGCCTACTCCAGCCAGGGAGTCACCCAGGGGGCATACTCATCATTCACCAATACCATTCAGCACTCCAGTCAGTGAGAATAACCGGGAGCATCCTAATAACCCAAACATTGCAAGAGAGCTGGTACACAAACAGTCTAGTTGGCCCAGTACTGCTACTGTTTCCAAAAGGAGGCATTCACACAGGGAGGTGGTCGGAGAGGGTAATCCCAATTCTGACACCTCCGGCACAGATGGGGGGGCAACTGAGTTTTGGGGAAATACTGAACCCCCAGACAGTCCCGTTACGGGGCTGGGGAGCGAAGGTATGCAGTCCCTTGATAGGTCCAGTGTGGGCCTGGAAGGGTCTACAGAGTTGCTTAACAGAGGCAGTCTTATAGAGAGGGCAGAGAGCCTGCAACTAGGCAGGTCAACCAGGTTATTGGGCCAACAAAGTCCTGGTCTGAAGAGCCCGGTGGGCAAGCAAGGAGACCAGGCAATGGGGCACGGTCCATGGGGACCACCAGGGTCTGAAAGAGGGGGCAACTTCATGTCATCCTCTGTGCAAAAAGAAATTGGGGATTCTCAGATTCTAAGGAGGTCACAGAGAGTAAAGAGATCTCCTAGGTATCTTGAGGACTTTGTAACTCTGCTGGCAAAGCAGAAACAATGAGAGGGTGTCTGCTGTTGGGAAAATTAGAAATTCGGGCATTGGGTATTAATCTCAGAACAATAGCCCGGTACCATTTGGAGCATGGGTTAGCACACCACGCTCGTGTTGAGGTCGCGTGTAACTATCAAATATAGTTTATTAATCTTAGCCGGGGGGGAGGGGTGTTGTGTCCTGAGCCTGCAAAGGCAGGCTCAGGACGTTGCAAAGGTCCTGGGCAGTTGCAAGCTGCCTGGGACCAGACTGGCTGGCACCGGCTTTGCGCACATGCGCGAGGCGCGGAGCACACCCAATTGTTGCCATTCTGCCCGGGGAACATTATTAAGGGAAGCAGAGAGGCCTGTGAGCCTCAGAGTTTTAACAGAGCAGAAGAGACTACAATAAAGACTTCTTGAACCTACAAGATGTTCTGTGCTCATTCGCCATTAAGCCAAGGACTCAACAAAGAGAATTTCTCTTTATGTAATTAAGGATTGAGACAATAACTAAGGTTTTATTTTTAGTTTGTCTTTATTTTTTCAGAATTTCATATCATTAATTAAAACAATTGTCCCTTGAGGACCACTATATCTATCCCAACTATTCCTTAGAAATAATATTTCATCACAACATTGATTTACACCATTAAAGGCAATTTGAATAAAACTCTATTTTTGCACTTACAAGTTTGGTTGCAGGTCCTGTCATACTAGAGTCCTTTAGTTGAAATAAAGAAAACAAATCTAATATACTGTATTATTCAAATTGTGCATGTGACAAAATATGTGTCAAATGAAACTCCTGTCAGATGCCATGTGTGATGGTGCAACCAAAGTACAAAAATAAAGAGCTTTCATAAAGACAATATATGTCTTGCTATTTTTGCATCATGATGATTAGCAATATATGCTTGCCTTCAGTCTCTATTATTCTAATAAGTGTTCTCTAACCCACTGAATGAACAAGAGTTGGTGATTCATATCAACTTTATCTAAATTTAGTAATCTGACAAGGGAAGAGAAAAACAAATTCAAACATAACAAGAATGCAAATTGGACTAGAAGACCTCCAAGTCCCTTCCAACTCTGGTATTCTGTTATTTTGTTATTCTGCTAAGTTTAGAACTATATGGAATTCTGGTGGGAAGTTATTCCAGAAGGCATGAGCTGTAACATAAAAGGCTCACTGTTTTGGTCCCAATAGATAATAATGTTGTATCAAAGAGATTTGAGATGTGCTCACTTTGATATCATCTGATAGGCAGAAACAATTGGGGATAGGCAATTCTATAAATAGACAGGCTTAAAGGGCTTCATTGGTGATAACCAGAATTTTGAATTGCACATAGAATACAATTAGTAGCTAGTGCAGCTCAAATACAGTGATGTCACACAGACAGAATGTGACATGTCCATCACAACCTGCATTGCCATATTTGGGACCAGCAGTAGTTTCTGAGACTTCTTCATGGGCAGCTTCATATATTGTATAGTGCAGTAGTCCACTCATCAGGTGACCAGGGCATGAATGGCTACTTGCAGGACTTCCTGTTCCAGGAGTAGATACAAGTAGTGCATTAAATAAATTTCTGCAAAGGTCTTCTTAGAAATTGCTGCCATCTACTATTAAGCAGAAGCTATGAGTTTAAGATGACTACCAGGTGGAACACAAGTCTTGAGTAGGGAAATGCAACCCCATCCAAGACTAAAAACAGAAAGTCCTCAAAGAAGAGAATTAACTATCAATATATACAGTTTCAGCAAGATTGTGTGGGTACTGATGGTTAGCTGTTGGCTAACTGCAACATAAATTACCATCTCTGGAGAATACCAGCTTCAATGAGTTTCAATTGCTCACTATTTCAGTTTGTTTGTCTTTATTTAGGTGCAGAATGATTCTACACTGGGATATGTTACTTCAGGACTATTAATGCCTTCTTCTAATGTGACTATTCTTTTAAGGTTTAGAAAATGGATACAAGAAATTCTAGATTATTTATTCTAGCAATAAATAATAGGTAGATTGTTGTGCTACACCAGACATGTCAAACACAAGGCCCGGAGGCTGGATGGGGCCCGCGAAGTGGTTTCATGTGGCCCGTGAAGCCATCCTGGAAACAGTGAAGGAATGGCCCCCGCTGCCTTGGCCCTGGCCCAGGCCAGCTGTCCGGGAGCCAATGTACAATTTTGTGGTGGCCATCTATGCTGAAACGCATTCAGTCTTACCTCCACAAGGCCATCTAGAAACAACGAGGAACCAGCCTCTGCCGTGTCGGCCCCGCCCCCTGGATGCATACTGGGGAAGTGTCACCCTTTGTGAGGAATGAAGAAATGGATCATGCCTTGACACTTGCCCTGGTCCCACCCCCTTCTTCCAGATCTGTCCCACTCCTGCCCAGGCCCCCACAGGCACCCTTGATGCGAATGATGTAGAGCTGGCCATGCCTACCAAGTAGGCCACACCCACTCCATCCAAGCCCACCCAGTAGGCCGCAGCCATCCTGGCCACACACACCCTGAGGGCAACTGCAATGCTGATACAGCCCTCAATGAAATTGAGTTTGACACCCCTATGCTACACAATATATATTCTTACATCCAAACTTGACATCTTTGCAGTATGAAGTTGGAGATCTACATTTGTTTCCAGACAGTTATATTGGGTGAAGCAGTTATTAAGCAGCAAAAAAGAGTGCACAATGCAGAGTAAAGAAATCTCATTGTCTCATCCACAATATCACAAGAGCAAATATTCACTACAGTAGAATTTGCTACAAACTATTACCCTGGCCCCAATACATTTTACATGGGATAAATCACTCCACATCTACACAAAAACTGACAACAGTAAAGAACATTTCTCAGAGCATTCTGAGTCTGATTGACAGATTGTTATGCTTAAGAAAGGAACTGAGAGCAAAATATAGATTCCAAAACCAAATATTTCAGCAAGAAAACAGTTAAGAATATTTTTCATTGATTAAACAGGCAGCCTTGATTCTTATCCCAATATCTAGTGTAATAAGTATATTAATGTTACAAGGTGGGTATTACATCTAATTTCTATTTTGCTAAAGGTTACTACAAGTAATTCCAGCTTTTCAACCATTTCATATAAGTGTATATGTATAATTCTATGGACTATGCCCAACACATCCAAATAAGTAAATTGTAGTTCACAGGGTTTAAATGAAAATAAAAATGTTAGTCTTTAAGACAACAAAATTTGTGGGATTTTTGAATTGTTAAGCAAAATTTGCTTAAGAATTAAACTTAAGCAAGTTTTGTATTTGATTTGTAATCCTTTGATTAAACAACTTCAATAAAGCAGCTTTTATATCCTTATTCTTCATGCTATAGATTACAGGGTTCATCATCGGAGGGATCATAGAGTAGATCACTGCAAGGACCACATCCCAATTGTAAGAAGAACCAGAATTTGGTATAAAATGGGATAATATACCTGTACCAAGTAATAAACAGACAACAAGGAGATGGGGAATGCAAGTAGAGAAGGCCTTTTGTCTACTGGCCACTAAGGACATGCTCAGTACTGTCTTAAAGATTTTTACATAGGACATGATAATTAAAATAAAAGAAACAACACCAAGCAAAGCACTAAAAAGAAGAAACCTGATTTCACTGAATTTCGGATCGAAGCAGGAAATCTTCATGAGATGTGGGATTTCACAGAAGAACTGATGGATGACTTTGGAACAAAAGGGCAATGAAAAAAGGGTTCCTGCATGCATGGCAGCATTAAGAAAGCCGAGCATCCATGCAGCCCCTGCCATCTGGAAGCAGCTTCTCCATTGCATCATGGACATGTAATGTAAAGGATGGCAGATAGCCACATATCTGTCATAAGCCATAGCAGTGAGAAGGAAAAGGTCTGAAGACAGGAAGAAAACAAAGAAAAACATTTGCACTGCACATTCAGAATAGGATATCTTTCTTGTGTTCATGAGAGCACTGGCCATTGATCTGGGAATGGTGACAGAGGTGGATCCCAGATCAACAGTTGCTAAATTGACCAGAAAGAAGTACATTGGTTTCTGAAGATGGTTGTTCATCACTACCAAAATAATGAGGAGAAGATTTCCTATCAGGATAGCCAGATACATCAGGAGGAAGACCACAAAGTGCAAAAACTGGAACTCTCGTTGATCAGAAAATCCCATAAGCAAGAAATCCATGATTATGGTTATGTTTGGCATCATTTTACTGATATTTTAACTGTGAGAGAAAGACATAACAATTTAACAAATCTTTCATTGAATGATTCTATTTCTCAAAACTATACACTCCAACTAACATTTTCATTTTGATATGATCACTCCTATAACACAGAAAGCTATATAACTTCTACTACAAAGATCCTGCAGGAGAAAGGCAGTGTTGACAACCGTGGGATCTGGCAGGGTGAGAGCTGTGAACTATAAACACAAAGCTTTCACTGTGTCCCTGCACAACAGATACAGTGCCCTTGCTGACCGTAATAGAGACATTAAGGAGACAGGTAAAAGTATTTGTGATGATAACTCAAATAAGCAGGGGGTCGTGGTCCAAGATGAAGAACTTGTTTTCAAGAGTTCCGGTTCCAGTATGCGGTGACGCCGGTCATTTCTGGGGACTCGTCTCCAGTTTGGCTGGCTTTTCTTTGTCAATAGACCCCTTAGTGGGTTGAAAGTCACCCTGGAGAGGCGACCACCAAGGAGGAGGCTGCTGGTGACTGCGGGAGAGCGGCAGCTTCTCCCATGATTCCAGCTATTTCCTTAGGGCCGACGGAGCAAAGATTGTCCTGCAAGATGGCCGATTACCCTGCTGCACCAGCCGAAGTCACAATTACACCTAAGCATATTAGACCCACTACGGAGGATCCGGGTGAGACCTTCTTTGCCCCTTTCTTTGCCCTCTTTGGTTTTTTTATTGCCTGTAAAAGCTTGGTTGGAATTACTTCCCCGTCTGGAAAAAGCAGCTTTTGTATATGTGGGAAGAAGGCGCTGAGAACAAAAAATTTTAAAGACTACATTTTATTTTCATTCATTTGGGGATACAGAAAATAAATGCTTTTTCGAATTGTATTATTATTTTATATTGGAAGTTTATTTCTTGCTCCACTTTTTTCTTTAAAAGATAGAAAAAAAGGGGAAAATAGTGTCTGGAAAAGATTTTTTATTTAATGAGGACATCTAGTGGGGAAAAGTTAATATTGTAACTGTGGATTATTCTTTGGAGAGAAGGACCTGACCTTCAAACTATTTCTGGAAAAGATAAGCTGATGCAGCTGTGGGAACTGAGGGGGTGGACACTGCTTAACTACAGTTTTTACTAAAAAGAATAAAGAAAGGATCTTCTTTAATCACTTTTAAAATGGAGAAATTTTACTCTCATTTAAACTGCAAGCTTATACTGGAAAAGATTTATGAGGCTACTGAAGAAATATGTGCCATAAAGAAAGGACTTACTACAGAACGAAGAACCAACTCTACCCCAAACTCTCAAACTGACTTTCAGATCACATCTAATTATTCTACAAACCAAAACATACCAGAAGAGGAACTAAGGGAAATTAAAGAGGAATTTGCTACAATGAAAGAGATTAACACAGAACTAAGAACCAGAAACTCTCCTTCAAATCTTAAAATTGATTCTCAGACTACATTTGACTATTCTACAAACAAAAATACACTAAAAGATGACTTCGTTGAGAATACAGAGGAACTTATTTTACCTTACAAGCATCTTTATTTATATTTTTGAGGATCAGAAAAAGCAAAGATTGAGATTTGAACCTTTAAAGCAGCGAGGCTTTAATCAGAAAAAACTAAGATTGAGACTTGAACCTTTAAAGCAGTGAGGCTTCAAGGATAAGAGAAATAGAGGTCCAATGCAGAGGACAGGAGGCTTTTTACTGTCTCAAATGGTATTACAAGCAACAAAGAGAGACCCATCAGCTGAAACCTTCTTGGCATAAAAAGAAGCCCAGAATAAGACTGAAAAGAGAAACTTAAAACTATTTATACTGGATTTAAGGCATTTTAGAACTATGAATTGATTTAAGGATTAAGTTCTTGAGTTAGAAGTAAGAAAAATGGGTGATTATTAGAATATATACATTAAATAGAGTAAGAATGTAGTTTTTCGAATAATAGGTTTATTTGTATGAAAATTATTATGTAATAGAATGAAGAAAACTGAAGAGGTGTTTTAGATTGGGATTGAACTAATAATTAATTGAATGTTATTTTAATAAGATGATGTGTTTGTTTGATAAGATGGATGCTATTAGGTTTGATAATTAATTGGATGAAATCAGAACCTTGTTAAATGGACTTAAATGATTAAAGGTTGATATTACTTTGTCAGTTTAAAGAAATTGATTGATGGATGGATTAGATATGTATAGGATAGATCAATATTTTATTTTAATTGGGAGATATTAGTGGAAGAAGAAATAAACAAGATTTATGATAAAATTAAAGAATTAGGATATATTTGGAAGGGATACCTGAACTGATAATGTGCTTATTTAAAGTTAAATTTGATTATGGTATTGTAATTGCATAAAGCTCTAAAAAAGGTTTAGGATTAATAGAAATTTAAGTTAGAAATAGACTATTTTAAATATATTAAGCTATTTGAGGGAAATAGAGAGGGAATATTTGATGTACTGATTGAGTTATTTATATATGTTTTGTTTTTGGATTTTTGATTACCCCAGCACCACAGTATGTCTCGAGCACTTTGTATTAAGAATTTAAAAACCAATAAAATTTGTTTCTTTTTAAAAAAGGAACTTGTTTTTGACAGGGAGAAGTGGGAATAGCTATTATACATCTGTCATGAAAGAACAGAAAGGCATCCAAAAAGAGAAGCCACTTTCTGGTTGGTGATTCAATTATAAGGGATATAAATTTAGGAAAGGACACAGAGGTTCTGAAAGAGGTCAGGTGTCTTTCAGGTGCTGCTGCCAGCAGGGACAAGAAGTGTATTTCTAAAATAGTCAAGAATGACAGCAAGGACTGTGATGTACAGGCTATTGTACATCTTGGCACTAACGATCTGTCCCAAAAAGATGTACTGTACTCTCTGTGCAGAATGATTTCCAGGAACTTAGGGCAGGAACTTAGCAGAATAGGCTGTAGGCTTACTTTTTCAGAGGTTTTACTAGTGTATAAGGAACAAAAGGAAAAGGCCAGCATATAGAATTCAATATGTGGCTAAATGAGTGATGTAAAGGGGAAGGCTTTGGTTATATTAGTTACGATATCTGTAGCTGGTCCAATGAAAATAGGTACAAAAGAGATGGTTTGCATCCATCAAAGAAAGGGACTGAGTTACTCGGCAATAAATTCACAGTGGGGACGGTGAGATAATTGATACAGAACATCCCTGTCCCTGGCAATCTAAAAATTATAGGGCTATCAGTGCATATAACATAGATGTGTGTGTGGACAAGAATATCAACCTTGCTGTCAAGCAAAATCAAGCTTTTAATAGCAAGTGCCACACAAAGTGCACTAATCAAATAGGTGATAAGAAAATATGGAAACTCAGGCATCACACAGTTTATATAGAAAGTAAACACAGGGTCAGTCATAAAGGACTCAAATGTCTATACACAGATGCACAGAGTATGAACAGCAAACAGGGTGAACTAGAAATTCAGGTTATTGAGGGCAGATATGATATTGTTGCCATTACGGAAACATGGTGGGACGAAACCCACAAATGGAACACATAGCTAGAGGGATTTAAATTATTTAAAAGAAACATACCAAATAAAAGAGGAGGTGGAGTTGCTCTCTATATAAGAAATAACTACATCTCTGTAGAAATAAAGCACAACAATGATGAAAACTGTCTTGAATGCATTTGGGTCAATATAAAAAGGGGGAGAAATGACATTGCCATAGGTGTATACTATAGGCCACCCAACCAAACAGAGGAAATAGATGAACTTTTTGCTAGTCAGCTAATTAAGGTATGTAGGAAGCACATCACAATAGTAATGGGGGACTTTAACTACCCTGACATCAACTGGGAGACAAACTCTGTACCAAGTGGAAGATCAAAAAGATTCCTGACAACCTAGCAGACAACTTTGTCTCCCAAAAAGTAGAGAAGGGAACTAGGGGATTAGCCATATTGGATCTAATTCTCACTAACAGAGTTGAAATGATAGAAGGCATTGAAGCCACAGGAACCTTGGGAGGAAGTGATCATGCAATATTGGAATTCAACATTATGGAAGCACAATCAATAGAACACAGTCAAACTAGAGTCTTGGACTTTAAGAGAGCTAATTTCAATAAGAGGGGCTTGGGAAGGATTCCATGGATGAGAATCTTCAAGGGGAAAACAACTCAAGAAGCTTGGGAAATTTTGAAAAGTGAAATAATAAAAGCCTAGTCAAGCACAATAACAACAAAGAAGAAAAATAACAGCTCTAAAAAGAAACCAGCATGGCTGCATAAAGAACTCTCTGACAAATTGAAAAACAAATATAAAAAGTGGAAAGAGGGGCACATAACTAAGTCAGAATATCAGCAAATAGCCCGAGCCTGCAAAGATGAAGTGAGGAAAGCTAAGGCTCAAAATGAACTAAGGCTTGCAACCAAAGTCAAAAATAACAAAAAAAGCTTCTTACAACATGTGAAGAAAAAAGTGAAGGAGATGATTGGTCCAATAGTGGAGGAAAGTGGCAAGAAGGTGACAAGCAACAGGGAGAAAGCAGAACTATTTAACTCATTTTTTGCATCTGTCTTTACACAAAGGGAAAAAACAGACCAACCTATCAAAAATAGTGCCAAAAAAAACCAATATAGAAGCACAAGTTAAGATAGGCAAGAAAATGGTACCTAGATGAGTTCAAATCACTAGGACCAGATGGATTACATCCCAAGGTTCCTAAGGAACTGACAGATGTGATCTCAGAACCACTGAACTATATTTTTCAATGATTTCAGGGAGCATTGGGAAACTACCAGAGGACTGGAAAAGAGCTGATGTAATTCCCATCTTCAAAAAAGGAGAAAAAAAATGGATCCAGGAAATTACAGACCTATCAGCCTGACCTCAATACCTGGGAAGATTCTGGAAAAGATAATCAAACAATGAATCAGTGAACACCTAGAGGCAAAGAAAGTCATTACGAAAAGCCAACATGGGTTTGTCAAAAACAGATCATGCCAGACAAATCTTATTGCATTCTTTGACCAAGTGACAAAATTAGTGGACCAGAGGAATGCTGTGGGTATAATTTACTTGGACTTCAGTAAGGCATTTGATAAAGTAGATCATAACCTACTACTTGATAAGATAGAAAAATGTGGGTTAGACAGTATCACCACCAGATGAATCCGTAGCTGGCTGACTGGCCATGCTCAGTGTATGGTCCTCAATGGAAACACATCTACATGGAGAGAAGTGTGTAGTGGGGTGCCCCAGTGCTCTGTTCTGGGCCCAGTGCTCTCCAACATCTTCAACAACGATTTGGACGAGGGGATAGATGGGGAACTCATCAAATTTGCAGATAACACCAAGCTGGCAGGAATAGCCAACACTCCAGAAGACAGGCTTAAGATACAGAAGGATCTGGACAGACTTGAATATTGAGTGCTATCTAACAAAATTAAATTCAATGGTGAAAAAAGTAAGGTTCTACATTTAGGCAAGAAAAACCAAATGTACAGGTATAGTATAGGGGGTACCTTGCTCAATAGTAGTAACTGTGAGAGGGATCTCGGAGTCCTAGTGGACAATCACTTAAAGATGAGCCAGCAGTGTGCTGCAGCTGCCCAAAACACAGTGCTTGGCTGCATTAACAGAGGGATAGAATCAAGATCACGTGAAGTATTAATACCACTTTACAATGCCTTGGTAAGGCCACACTTGGAATACTGCATCCAGTTTTGGTCACCACGATATAAAAAAGATGTTGAGACTCTAGAAAGGGTACAGAGGAGAGCAACAAAGATGATTAGGGACTGGAGGCTAAAACATATAAGGAACGGTTGCTGGAATTGGGTATGTCTAGTTTAATGAAGAGAACATGATAGCAGTGTTCCAATATCTCAGGGGCTGCCACAAAGAATAGGAAGTCAAGCTATTTTCCAAAGCTCCTGAAGGCAGGACAAGAAGCAATGGGTGGAAACTAATCAAGGAGAGAAGCAACCTAGAACTAAGGAGAAACTTCCTGACAGTTAGAACAATTAACTAGTGGAACAACCTGCCTCCAGAAGCAGTGAATGCTCCAATACTGGAAGTTTTTAAGAAGAGACTGGACAGCCATTTGTCTGAAATGGAATAGGGTTTCCTGCCTGAACAGGATGTTGGACTAGATGACCTCCAGGTCCCTTCCAACTTATTATTGTTGTTATTATTATTATTATTATTATTATTATTATTATTATTATTATTATTATTATTATTATTATTATGTTAGATCTTCAATAGTGACATCTTTTATTAAGGAACCAATTATATAGGAGAAAAATGTAATATATTACAATGGATTATCATCTTATTAATCATATAATTCCAATCTTGTTTAAACCTGGAGGCCAGATACAAATTGGCTTTCTTGTAATATGCAGAGTCATTACAAACATAATTTGTTATTGTGCAGTGTAAAATTTTCAACTGCAGGACATCCGAAAGATATGAAATACCTCAGGCTGGATTGCAAGCCTATTTAGATTATTTACGTATAATGGAGGGGCAATGGGACCTGTTATTTTTGGCATTTCTCTGAAGTTTTAACTTTTGGAAAACAAAGGCCATATAAGTGTTTTTTGTGATGACAAAATCCCACATATACACCAACCATTTTATATTAATGGTAATATATCTCCTGTGTCATAAAGGCCATATCTTGAACTGAAAAGACAGTTCTTCATACCAGCTTCCTTTTATTAAAGAAGAAAGAAGAAGTTTCACAGAAGAAGAATATAATGTGGTTATGATTATCAAAGGTTGGAAGAGCATTTGATTTGTTTTCATATCAGCAGAGAATATTGATTTTACCAATCTTTGAAATTATAGAGATAACCCTTTCTTCTACTATTATAGAGATTTTATCTGCAGCCATGAGATATATTCATGGATGTTGAAGTGTCAAAAGGAAGTTCAATATCTGTTGATTAGCACAAAGCTAGTACTTCAGTTGTTTCATTGAACATGTTACATTTCTCCTTTCAGACTTTAATCTATTTTTATCAAAACTATGAATACAACAACAAAACCCATTTGTTAAAACTCATAAGAAGACACATTGCCTTGTTGAATCTTTCTTGAATAACCTTTATAAATTTTAAATTTTAAAAACTTACTTTTTTCGCATTAATCCTTTTAAACTGATAATGAAAACAATCGTAGAAGCCACTCTGTGCCCACTTTTTCCTTTTGTTTGTTCATATTTCTTTCACAATCTCTCAAAATCTTTTTGTGAAGACTTACAGCACACCTCTAGCTCAAACATAAGTGCATGATGCAGATTGATGGAGAAAAAGCTAGCACTGGTTACCAATTAATATGAGTATTATATAATGGAAATGAATCCTTAATTAGAATCCAGAGATTATTATTCTTATTCAAAAATAAACTTAAATTTAAAAGAAAAAGGGGAAAGAAAAAAACTTCCTCACTGACATATTTTTGAACTCTTATTCTACAGCTACTGTTCTTGTAATCCAGCAGTTACAGGCTGCAGATTTGGTGAGATTCAGACATGACTTTCTCCTCAACATTTACTAACTAGTCTCATAAGGAACATGGACACAGCATTGAAGACTTCTATACACAAAGGAATGATTGCACAATGACAACTTTAGTGGTGGCATATACTATTCCCCAGGACACTGCAAGGACATAGTGTTTACTTTCAACAAGAGGAATGTATAGTAGAGTTACAAAATATTACTGAGAGTAATATTATTTTAGCAAATAATGAATAGTGAAAGTTTCTCTTTCTGTAATTAAGGATTCATATAATGTCTGATGTTTCCAATCACTACGTTTAGTTTTCTAAATTATGTCATGAACTAAAACAACTGTCCCTTAAAGACCACTGTATCTATCCCAACTATTCCTTACAGCAGTGGTTCTCAACCTGTGGGTCGGGACCCCATTTGGGGTCGAACGACCATTTCACGGGGGTCGCCAAACAACGCAGTCCGCCATTTTTTCCCCATTTTCCTTAGCTGTGCTACTCCCTTTTATTCTATTGGCTTTTGAAAGCCAATAGAATAGACTCTCTTGAATAGAGTCTAATTCTATTGGCTTTCAAAAGCCAATAGGAATTGTCCAGGCTGTCTCTGTCCTGCTGAGCCCGCCAAAAGTCCCATTCTGCAAACGGTGCTGCACCAGTTGAGTAGTCCTCGACTTACGACCGGTTGAGTAGTCCTCGACTTACGACTGCTTGGGGGTCACGGCATTAAAAAAGTTGAGAACCACTGCCTTAAGGTGAAGATTACATCACAATTGATTTTCACTATTAAAGGCAATTTGAATAAAGACCTATGGTTGTACAAATACGTTCAGTTATTGGCCATGTCAGACTCCATCAGTGAAATAAGGACCCCAAATCTAATATCCTGTAGGCATCCACAGAAGTATAAAGGGTATATAGCATATAGCATATAGCAAAATATGTGCAGATGCCATCCTTCATATACTTATATGTGATTTTGAAATACAAGTATGAAAAGAAAGAACCTCCATCAACACATCACAAAATATGTTTTATTATTTTTGCATCATGGTAGTTAGTTATATATGCTTATATTGATCCCTGGATCGTATCTCTTAATTTCAGCTTTAATTCTGAGACTTCCATTGGTTTTCACAAACAGTGATTTCTATCATCATTCCACAATTGCCATAATAACATGAATCCTGTGGTGGATTCAAATATGTGAGCAACCGGTTCTCTGTGTGAATGCCGCTTCTGGAAGTCCATTCTGGGCCTGGGGAACAAAAAATTAGCTACCAGTTCTACTGAACTGGTGTGAACTGGCTGAATCCCACTACTGCATGAAGCTTTTCTTTTTTATTGATATCTCATCACAATGATGGCCAGATAATCCTTGAAACAGCTCATGAGAAAACCTTCTTTGGATCAGATGGCCAATTGATGTAAGCATTTGAACTGATAGCAATAGCACTTATATATGACTTCATAGTGCTTTACAGCCCTCTCTAAGCGGTTTAGAGAGTCAGCATATTGCCACCAAACAATCTGGGTCCTCAGTTTAATAACCTTGGATGGATGGAAGGCTTCAGCCGGTGAAACTCGAATCGCCAAACTACTTTCGGTCAGCAGTCAGCAGAATTAACCTACAGTGATGCATTCTAACCATTGTGCCACCATGGCTCTTAATTGATCAAAGGAGATTGTCCTATGCAGACATGATATGATGACTACCAATAACTCCTATGTATAAAATCTAAATTAAAGTCATATGTGGAAATAATTGATATAATGCAAAAATGTAAGGAAAAATAAGAAAACTGTTAAATCAATATTCTCATTCAGAAATTTGCTTTCTAAAATATAGGAATTAAGTGGAAATGCAAAACTTCAAACTATGGAAACGTATAATAATCAGGGTCTTATCAACATTCTGATTATCCAGTAGAACCACAACATCATTCAAACATTCAGTCTTATACTTGGCTTATTCATTTGGGTCCCTGAAGTGCTGCCTAAACCTGACCTGTCTGTACATTTTGTAGTGATTCAGTCTACATGGATACAAAACATTACCCATTGTGATGTCACTCTCATGCTATCTGCCTTATGAGAGATATCTACTTGTTGGAAATCAGCACCCACCCATCCTCCTAGACAAGGAAATATTGGGGGGGAGGTGTATTAAAAAAGGCAGATTATATTTCCCCAAAGGAATAATGGAGGGGAAAAAATCTTAAAAGGCTTTTCTGCCCCCAGAGAAGCAGCACATGACTTTTAAGACATAATAGGATTGACCCACCACCATTAGAATACCAAAAAGGCACTCTCAAGCTCAGGTCAAAGTACAAACCACAGGAACAGGAAGAACCTCAAATACAAAACCACAGGAACAGGAAGAACCTCAAACATAAAGTCCAAAGAAGATATAAAAGCCCACCTATCCCAACTCCATTTTGTCAACTTTCTCAAAACCTCATGCTGTTGGTTCTGTTCTTCAATAAACAGAATCTTTGTTGCTAAGCAGTCTCCATTTTGTTTATTCTCGGCTTTGACTGGATCTGATGATTTTTTTTTCTACATACCAATACATATGTCAATTGCTGGGATATAAAATATATACATGGTATCCTCAGGTTGATGCTACATAAATGAAGAGAGAACTCCAGTAATATATTGCTTATGATTAAACTGAAGATTTATAATGATTAATTGATTAAAGAAAATAAGAAAATTGACTAATAAGCCTGCCTTAAAATTAAGATGAAAAGCTATGCCTCTTAAATAGACTAAATGTTTACATAGCCCCATTATTTTAGATAAAAAATAATCTGCAGTTTTTCAGGGACTGACTCAAAATCATATAAATTGGATAATATCTGCAAGTAATCTAATATGTTTTTCTGTGTTGAACAGGACTCACTAGCCTAAATCTATAGTTTTATCATTTTGTGGATATTTAATTGGCCAAAGCATATTTATGAATTTTAAAAAAAACATTTGAATTTAAGAAAGGGGTATTCCAAGAGATAGCCAGTTTATTTATTTGTTAAACAAACAAACAAAAAATATCCAAACTGAGACTCACAGGATTTGGCAATAATAAAATATTAAACATCCTAACATAAGATAACTTAAAAGCAAAATAAGAAATAATAAAATTAGATAAATACAAACAGTGTATGTATCTAAAAATACCAAGCTGATGCCAATCAGACCTCCATGTGAAAGTTATTCTGCAAGAGATTAGCTGATTCTGAGAAACATTACCTATAATTCTCCACCTTTCTCATAGATCAGTGGTGGCGAACCTATGGCATGGGTGCCAGAGGTGGCACTCAGAGCCCTCTCTGTGGGCACATGCGCTGTCACCCCAGTCCTAGGCCTTCAGCTGGGTTTTATAAAACCTTTTCGCTTTAGGCCTCCGCCACCATGTGCAAAAAACCCCAAAGGTTCAATCAGCCAATTTCAACTTCTCGTAGGAAAAAAAAGATCTTGCATAGTTGGAATTGACTGATTGAACTTTTTAGTCCCACCCATTCTGCCATTACCACTGCAGCCACGCCCACCCAATGGGCCATGCCCACCCTATGGGCCACATCCACCCAATGGGCCACACCCACCCAGCACTCGACAATGCATAAGTGGGTTTTGGGTTGCAGTTTGGGCACTCAGTCTCTAAAAGGTTTGCCATCACTGTCATAGAGGGATTCTCAAAAGTACCAGTCAGGACAAGTATACTAAAGAAATGATTGAATGCCTATGTGAAGATATTATTCTTTAGATACCTAGATACCTAGAAGCCAACCATATATGTTCTTCACATTTAAAACCACTATTTTGCTTTGAATCCTGAAACCTATCAGAAATCAGCTCACCACACTATAGGTTTACAGCTATAATCACTCTGTTTACCTTCTTTACCAACTGCACTTTCTAAGTAATCTTCAAAGTTAAATCTAGATTTTCTATATTTTGTAAATCCTCAAAGATTTGCTTCTACCCATAGACAGTCAGAACCCTATAAGGGCACTTCGAAACTTCTCCAGATAGTTTGCTTTTCTGTTGAATTGCTTCTGGTATAATTGTTCATTTATTGCCATATTTTTGATATTTTATGATTTTTACATTACCATAAGTCATATGTTAAAAAGACAACTACTGAATATAAATTGACCAAATAAATGAATGAAATATATAGAGTAAATGCAGCATTTGGGCAGCTGCTTTTTTCTGCAGCTGTATTTTTCAAATACTGTTCAAAGATATCCCAATGTGCAGCACATTTCATTAGTCTAACCTGGTGAAAACATGAATTGTCAGATGTTCCAACTCCAAGTAAGATTGTGAGTAGTCAAAGCTGAAATAATTCTTTGGCCATGGCCTCCATCCTTTCTTGTGACAATAGCTATGAATATAAGAGAATACTCTAGTTGTTCTCTTTCAGAGGAGCATAAGAGAAAAGCATTCATTTAATATAATTTAGAGACAAGATCCCAAATGACTCTGAGTGGCTTATATTGAAAAGACCAATTAAAAAAAATAGAAAATGAATGGATCATTAGCATCCTTATGGCAAACTCTCCAAAATAATAAAACGGTCTGTAGTAGCTCAACTGCTAGTCTTGCTGAAGGCCTGGGAGAATAATCACATTTTCAATAATTTCTTGAATATTATCAACTAGAACTATATAGAATTCTGGGGGAAAACTATTCCAGAAGGCAGGAGCTGTAATTTAGAAGGCTCATGTCTTTGCTCCCAATAGATGACATTGTTGTATCAAAAGGACCTGATATGTGCTTACTTTGTCTGATGTCAGCAGATAAGCAGAATTTTTTGGAAATAGGCAATCCTACAAGTAGATAGCTTTATGTATGAAGGTCTTAATTGGTGATAACCAGAATCATGAACTGCATGTTGAACACAAACTGGTAGCCATTGTAGCTTGAATACAGTGACTTCACGTAGACAGAATGAGACATGTCCATCACAATCTGCACTGACATATTCAGGGCCAGTTGTAGCTTATAAGATTTCTTCAAC